GCACCGGGCGTGGGAACGCGCTGCCTGGCACGCCGACCGGGGACACCGGGAACGCGCCGCCCGGGGACACCGGGAACGCGCTGCCTGGCACGCCGACCGGGCCCGGGCCTGAGAACGCGCTGCCTGGCACCGGACCTGAGGACGCCCCGCCCGGCACATCTGCCGCCCCGTCTGTCTCCTTCTCCTCCTCCGCTACCTCCTCCTCGTCCGGCTTCACCACTGGGAAACACACAAACAACAAATTAGAACACAGAAACAACAAATTACAACACAGAAACAACAAATTACAACACAGAAACAACAAATTACAACACAGAAACAACAAATTACAACACAGAAACAACAAATTACAACACAGAAACAACAAATTACAACACAGAAACAACAAATTACAACAGAAAACAGCACCTTGCTTGGAGCTTCCTACAACACAACCATCTTTCTTACAACCTGGTGCTTAGGTATGGCTCTGGATAGTCCACGCATATCCAAAACCGTGCCTGGGGAAAACCTACGTTCTAGGATACGCAGGGGCTATCCAGAACTGTGCATGATCCTAACCCTGACCCATTTAGGTATAGAACTAGATAGACAGACCCTAACCCATATAAAGATGTGACACTCACCTATCATGGATGTGAGGGGCGTGACGAAGTTGTACTTGAGAGACAGCGCCAGCGCCTTGGCCGTGAGGTTGGTTTTCTCGCCAGGCTCGGCGATGAGCCGCTGCTTCAGGTAGTGTTTGATGGTGAGGTAGGCCCACAGCCGCTGGGTGAAGTCTCCAACCGCCTGTGGACTGGATTCCGTTTTACGTTAGTTCTACATGTAGTTTTAGGTAAGTATCAGAGACATGTACATGTGCTTAAAAACATTGTGTCAGCGCTGTAACGGCCCACCACAGCGTATCGGCATGTAAGTGGAAGATATTAGATTGTAAATTGTGTCGACCGGCTACTTTCTCCTTGCAGAGAGGGACTGAATTATGAGGAGTGTACATTTGGTGGGGCTGAATATTGAGGGCTGCCATTCGGTAATAACTCCTCTGGAAAGACGGCTATTAAAGGCCAAAGAGTGTACCTTGTACATTTCAATGTTAAAGAAATGTTGAACATGGAATAGACTAGTGGCGTACTTGAGAAGCGCCTTGTGGGGTGCCGTGACGTTAACTTCCTTCTCCAGAGTCAGCTGACTGTCCACCGTGTTCCCCACTACCGACACGTCCAGCGTCCTGCTCACTTCGTTAGACAGTCTGCCGGCCACAACCAGCTCTGATCTGCAACCACATAGGAAAACTTTTTTTATATTCCAACATATAATCATAATACGTGGTGACGACACACTCAAGTTTTTTCAACTTATATTAATGCATAAGGTACAATACAATTCTCATTTACACCTGAGCCACGTGAGGAAAGTCGTGTAAAGTGCCTTTCCCAAGGGCACAAGGCCGGTGGCATGTCAGGACTCAAACCCGGGACCTCTTGGTTCCGAGTCGAGCACGCTGCCGCTGCGCCACACGACCCCACAGGAGGAAAACCTTGTTAGGGGACTCAGAGGATTTCTAGTATCCAGAACCGTGCTTTATCCAGAGCCATTCTCAGGTATGGTTCTAGGAAGTCCACGCGTATCCAGCGTCTGGAGCAAATCTACGTTCTTCGATACGCGGAGACTATCCATATCCATGCTTGATCCCAACCCTAACCAATTCAGACACAGAAGTAGATAGGCACAGTTCAAAATAGGATAAAGGCTATCCATAACCGTAAACTAGAAAGGTATCATGTGCAACAGAAACACAGCAAAAATAATGTTTTCTTTCTGCGAACAAGTTTAAAATAAATATTGGAGGAAAACACTGTACGAAATCTCCTCTTACCCATCAAAGTAGGTGTTGAAGTCGACAGGCGTCAGGTCGGTCACCAGGTTTTCCGGGTATCTCATCTGGACATCAAACAACAGGGGCGTGGCCACCTCGTCATAGAAACCCTGGAATATGGATGGATACAATGGCGTAGTAAGACGGGTACACGAGGCAGAATAAAACAGGTACTCCAGCTACTGGATAGATTTTGGAAACAAACAAGCAAACCTTCAGCTGCAGAGCGGCGTCCGAGTCCTCGTATATCCTCCGCCCCAGCCCGCGGTTTCCCGGGTACTAACCCTTTCACAAACAAACAAACAAACAAACAAACAAACAAACCTTGAGCTGCAGAGCGGCGTCCGAGTCCTCGTATATCCTCCGCCCCAGCCCGCGGTTTCCCGGGTACTAACCCTTTCACAAACAAACAAACAAACAAACAAACAAACAAACAAACCTTGAGCTGCAGCGCGGCGTCCGAGTCCTCGTATATTCTCCGCCCCAGCCCGCGGTTTTCCAGCGCCATTTTCTCCAGGAAGGGGAAGTCCACGTCATTGCCGAACCCCAGGCAGAACAGCGACATCTGCTCACGGATGGCGTTCTTAACGTTCACCTGGATAAAGGCACAGGAGCGTTACAGACGCGTTACGGATGCGTTACAGACGCGTTACGGTAGCGTTACGGGCGCGTTATGGGCGCGTTACGGATGCGTTGCAGACGCGTTACGGCAGCGACATCTGTCCACGGATGGCGTTCTTCACGTTCACCTGGATAAAGGCACAGGAGCGTTACAGACGCGTTACGGGCGCGTTTCAGGCGCGTTACGGATGCGTTGCAGACGCGTTACGGCAGCGACATCTGTCCACGGATGGCGTTCTTCACGTTCACCTGGATAAAGGCACAGGAGCGTTACAGACGCGTTACGGAGAGTGACTAACAGGATGCCATAAGTGGTTACCATGATGTTCTTTGTCCTCGTCTCTCCGGAAGACGGCAGCCCGTCCGTGAGGAAGATGATGAGGGAAGCGGGAAACAGAAGCGTTACGGGTGCGT